GAATAGTAAAAGTATTTTATTCCATCAGTCAGATATTTCTGATTGTCTAATAACTGACACCTTATGGGTACAGAGCTAGGAGATGAAGAAAATTCCAGAACAGACCCCCCACACACGTCTTCTTCCACCACAGGTGTCGTCAATCAGAACTTCCCTTCTCTTCTCTCACTTTGCCTGGTCACTCTCCACAATGGAACCTGCTGCTTCCACTCTCATTAAAATGAGCAGTACTGTGACCCATTCTCTATTTCTCATTTCAACAGCCTCCCAGTAAGCCTAGACAACCCCATGTTCAACCAAAAATTTCTCGACCCTACTACACACCTACACTGACCCATTCATTTTCCCTCCTCCCCATCCCTTAAAGCTACCAAAGTTTGCTACAGAAAATAACATTAATATGTCAATTTGCTCTAGGTCAATCTTCAGTTAGTCTTTAGTGTTGCCAAGAAACACTATTATGTTCCCCACAGTAGCTGCTGTAAAACTTCTCAATTTTCTTCAAGATTTATCCTTAAAAATTCAAGAAAAAGAAACCATGACAAATCTAGGAGAGACCATAATGATATCTCCATATCTATGACATCTTGGAAGGGAAGACTGTAAACTCTAGACTTTGAGAGTGGACTTCACAAAGGTCTGAGAAAATACAGGCATGAATTCCACTGCAAGAGTTTCTAAAGGAAAGGATGATTTAAGAGGGTTGGGAAGCTCTTAGAACTGTAAATTTGATTATATAATCACAAATCATCTCAGAGAGGAAGTCAACATGGCTTTTTAAATATCCTGGACTATCCAGTACTAGATATGAAAAGTACTAATTATGTTGTGATCTCTAAAAGCCAGTAAGCGTTCACTAAGAATGGCTACCTTTAGGCTTGTGATAACAGTACAGGACTAAGCATGAGGATGTGGTAGATTCACTGTATAGAGGGAACAAGGCCCAACTGTGATCTCTCATGACAATTCTAAGAAGATGAAAAGTAACTTTCCTAACAACTAGAGTTTCCAGTGCTGTAATAATAATTGTGGGGCTTCCCTTAACTAGAGAACCAAAAAGTGCCACTGGGGGTGCCAAAGAAGCAATGCTTACCCCAAAGGGGGCACCAAGATGGATGGTCTCCTTAAGGCTCCTTCCAAAGCTACTGAAATTATATATTCTATTAATGTGCATGTTCTATTTAAACTTCTTGTTAAAGATTCTAAATTAGAGGTTCTCCACATGAGTTTATATACTGGCTGTATGTTGTTAATAAGTGTTGATTTTGAAATCACAGAACCTTGGTTCTCATCATTTTCTGTCCCAAACACCTCCTCCCATGTTTTCTAGATTGATTTATGATAGAAATCTTCCTAGTCAATGTCAGGAGTCATCAAATAATTTTCACCTACCCATCTGACAGCCAGCAAACGTTCACTGAGTATCCTGTCCTGAAGGAGCTCATGGCTAAGGGAATAACTTACATGAGCAGTTACAATACAAACAGATGAGAGATACAACGATGTTATTAGAAACTATAGGGGCACATAAGAGGGAGGACTTACAGACAGGAAACATTTTTCAGCTGGACAACTGACAAAAGTCGAAAAGTTGAGTATTTCACTAAACAAACTCTGGGGAGAAGAAGAAGCCACTGTTGGGAAAAGGAGTGTGGAGTGCAGAAGTTCAGAGCTATGAATCCACAGTCAGCTTGGAAGACAGAAGAGCAAGCAAGGAGGCACAGTGGAGGGGACGGCGGGAGCTGAGGCTGCTCTCAGAGAACCGGCGTTAAGTGCCCTCCTCTCCTACCCAGTCACCCAAGCTGGAAGCCTGAAAGTGCCCAGGACTGTAATTCTCCTTCAGGCCCCATCTGCAGTCGGTCATCTTGCCTGGGAGAACTGACATTCTTCCTCTCCCCTGAGACTCTTCCTTTCTCGTTTCCCTCACTGCAACTCCTTTCCTGCTTGTGTCTAGTCAGGTCCCTTCCCATCCACTCTGGACTCTCAGTGACCAATCTTTTAGCAAAGAGGCTTCCATTCTCCAAGAAACAACCCTGGATTTCCCCCTTTACTCACTTCATCTAAACCTCCAGAAAATTATTTTGTTCCTAGGGAGAACTTAGAGCATTCTCTTTCATACTATGATCAGTCTGCTTCATTCACACTCCTTCACAGAGAGCCGATTCCCATAGGCCCTGCTAACTGGGCAGTGGGTCATGGGACCTTGCACCCCTACCTCTAGTTAAAACTACTGAGCAGGGCAAATAACTGTCTCAAGATAGATCAATAAGATTTTCTACCCCAGAAATTCTGTATTGTTATCTAGACTTCGGTATGTGACCTGCAAAGGCCCAGCAGTGCCATGTGGGGCCACGTATGTTATTGAGCAGGTAGGTGGCCACTGTGAAGAAAGCAGCAGAATACCACAGCTTGTGTGTAGAAAGGGGTAGAGAAGCGGTACCCTGCGGTGGGTGGGCTGGTCGGGGCGGCTGAGAGAGAAGCTGTGATTCTTGGCTGTCTTGTTAGTTCTGAGCTCCTCAACACCTGCCTGTACTTCTGGCCCTGGGTTTTAGGAGAATCGCTAGTTTCTTATATTAATCACCACTTTTATTTAAACCAATTCAAGTAGGATACCATTTCTTAGACTCAAATTAATCCTGTGACATTTATGTGTAAGTCCTTCCACATTAGGCCATAATTTCTTTGGATAAAGAAACCATAGCTTTCTACATCCCTATTTCTCACATAATATAGCACAGTGACTTACATACAGTTGATCAACACTTGTCTTGTGAACTGAATTTAACTACAGAAGTAAATGACTTTGGACTTGAATAATGAGTAGCAATTAGACAGGCAGAAGACGCTTGATACTTCTAAGGATAGAGTGTAGGGGCAGGAAAAAATTTCAAAAGAAAGCCTCTTTGCTAAATTCGGTTTATAGGCATAGTTTCTGCGAAGCTAACCACACACATTCACACCCATAGCAAGTACTACCTTCACGCTCCTAGTCAAAATCTGGCCAGGATGAGAGAGGAAACCCAGGCAGTCCCAGCACAGCATGTTCGGATTGGGAAACAGTGACCTCAGCCCCTAAAGATCAGTAACTGATAGCCAGAACCAATGGCAAGGCGACCACCAACATGCTCAGCAGCTGCAGCCCGCACCCTCAGGAGACGATGTCATCTGAGAACTGCATCATGAAAACCTGCCACATTCTATTTAAGATACATTTTCTTTTTCACAAAGATTTTAGAAGGCATATTTCCATAACAGATCACTTTAATGTCTTTATAGGAAGAAGGCAGAGGAAAAGTTAGCAGTTTTCCATCTAAGTATGAGAATCTTCAATTTTTTTATTTTGAAAAGTACATAATTAACATATGGTTATTATTTTAAAATATTCTTTCTTTAGATTCAGCAAATGTCCTCATTGCTTCAAAGGTCTAACTCCTTTTTCAATTATTATCGTACTTTACCCACAAGAAAAAGAGATCTTGATGAAGTAATGGCTCAGCTGTACAAAAAAAGGGGGGGGGGCCTGCAAGGCCATTCGAGCACTAAGAGAAACTCACACCCTGAAGATTTCCTGACTACACCCTTACAATTTGAAAACTAAGGAAGAAGCCCAATCAAGTACACACAATGGGACGTGACAGAAAGGCAGATAAAAGTCAAGGCTGGATTTCCTGCTGTGATGGAAAGTCTTCCCTTTTCACTGCCAAGCAGAGTGTGGCGGCACAATCAACAGAGGCCAGGTGGCACAGCTACTATCCGGCCTTCTGAGTTAATGGTGAGAAACTGGCAGGCCTCTGAGAAGGACTATTTAGGGCTCAAGGGGTTGACGTCACTTTTGGATAATGGATTAGGCTTAAAAATGATGACACTGCAGTCACACCACTTGAGAGCAAAAAAGAAAGTACAAGTGCTCCTGAGGGGCTCTGAGGTCACGCAAATCACACTGATCTTCACATCTCTGGAAGAGTGGCATAGGACAGTGCTTCCTAAGTTGCATCGGGATGACATACAGGCTTGATCTGCCTTACTTCACTAGGCCTAAGAGGCTAAGTACAGAACAAGCCTGATCAAAGCAGCACACGGGGCCATCTACTCTGTCGGGACTCGTGACCACAGAACATTCCCCAGGGGGCTCCATCCTGCACGCTTTAGATGACCAAACAGCAAGTCACCAAAACGGACAAAAAGTGTCAGAGCAAACTCTTTTCTAGCTTGTATGCTTTTATTTCATTTCCTGTGAAGCATACACCAAACACTACCAATAATAAAGAGCTAAAGGTTTAGCTACAATTTAAGATTGCTTTCCTTTCAAAATGAATAACAATTTTAAGAAGAAGACAGGCACAACATTTGATCAAACAGCTGGGTCCAGCAGTTTCTTTAGATCAAAAGAAAGTGACCACCCATGATGCTCTGTGACTACATAATCTGTATTTAAGTTAGATGGTTTCTGACAGTTTCCATTAAAAAATGGTACCATCATCCTGATTAGAGAAGGGTAATACAGTTTTTAACGCCACACGTGAAACCTTTGAAGATGAGTAGCAAAAAAGCACATCATTCAAACATCCCTTCATATTCCTATTTAAAGCATGGGAGACCAGGGTCCCCTGAATATGCCTGGAATTTGCATATCTCAGCACTAGTGACTGAAAGGTGGGGTCTGATTGATTGATATGATGAATTCTTTGCAGTGCACAAGTACAAACAGAATTCATAACATAATAGGAAATATATAGAGGCTCAGAATGTGCTTATATTTTATGTCAAAAAACAAAGCAAACCAAAAAGGTGATTGCCTGGCAATTCGAGGAACCTATAGGTGACCACTTGAGGTGGTAGCTAACATCGATTTCTTAAGAACCAGGGCAAAAATATGTCAAAGACCCATGCTTTAATAAATAAATAATAATTAATTAAAACATACCCAAAAAGTATACCTAAAGGGCCCCCAAACCAAGTTCTGTGTGGGATCTGTGGTTTTCCTGCCAGAGCTCACCTACCCCAGGGCAAAATTGCTGTCCTCCTTCCAGTCTACGATGCGGCAGATGAACAGTGTGTTAGCATAATCTTTAGGTCGGCTTGAAAAGTCTTGGGGACAGTCCTTGAGAGGCACGTATATTCTAGGCACTCGGTGGTCGGAGGGAGAAAATAGAGCATATTTCCGGAACAGTTCACTGTTCTTATCGGCCAGTAGCTTGAGGAAGCCTGCTGCTGCTCGGGAATGCTTTTTCTCCACGATGTAAACCACCTGCAAACACCAAAGACACACTCAGTGCTGTTTACCTACAGGGCTAGAGAGCACTTGGGAGAGGCACTGGGAAATTGGCAGGTCACCGAGCTGGGTCCAGCAGTTTTCCTAGGTCCATGTGAAGTGACTCTCAGGGAACTGTGTGACTAAGTAATCGCTATTTCTGTTGGTTGGGGACTGTGAAGTCCCCTGCTGCTCCATTGTTCCTCTAGTCCCAGAGTCCCTAACCAGTTGCCTCCTCTCTTCCCCTTTCAGAGCCCTTATTTGGTTGTCTCTTGTTATTTTCCAGGGTGTCCAGTTGTACTTAGTAAGGAAGAGCAAGGAGAAATGAGTCTGTGGCATCTTGTTGGAACCAGGAGTCCTTGCTTCTTGTTTTGATATCTGACAGCATGAGAAGTGAATAAAGCAGCTTGACATGACTTGTGCTTCATACGTTAGTTGTCATAGAAATGACTTGACCATAGTGTAGGTTTCACATACAAGTGCTGTTTGGCCTTGTAGTTTTAGTTTCAATTCATTAAGAAACTATCAAAAAAACACACACAACAATACACACAAAAAACAGCCAGAGAGAGGGCACCATAGGAGGGCAGTAGCAAATTACAGAACACGAGTTCCATCTCCAGAGGGTTGCCTCAACCCAGCTCTAACGTCATTTCAGAATGTGGCCCAGTGTTGCTGGATGTTTTGTTTTGTCAGGAGATGCCAGAAGTCTAATTTTTTTATGGGAAGACTCCAATTTTTTTTTAATGTAAGCTACCAAGTAAAAAATTTTAAATACTGCACAGGTCAAACAAAACACAAGTTTGTGAGCCAGATCCAGCCCACAGGCTTTCCATTCATTATCATCCTCTGCACCTAGTGTGATACCTGGCATACAGTTAGCATTCAAAATGCTTATTAAAATAAAGATCTAGATAGTGGATGGGCAGCTGTGGGTAACAGGTATGCAATATAATTTGGAAATGCCTCATGTCACTATGCAGGAGACACTCTCCTAACCAGCTCACTAGGCTGAATAGGAAAACTGCACTCCCAGTTAAGCATGCTGCCAACTGGGCAGGGCAGAGGAAACCTCACGCCATGACGCCACCTCATTCTCTGCCCGTGTACCGCTTTCTCCACCATGAGCTATTTAGCTGGGGTTAGCTGTGTTTGATCCCATATCTGACTATGCCACTAGCATATATAATTAAAAAATAAAATTGAATTATGCAAAACAAAAGCAATTGTTTTTGTTTCTATGATAACTAAATTAAATACTTTAGAAAAACTAAAACAGACTTCTTAAAAGCTTACTTTTGAATTAGATATGGACATGACAACAATTGAAAAACAATGGAGTCCTGGCTGGTGTGGCTCAGTTGGTTGGAGTGTCGTCCCGTACATCAAAAGGTTGCGGGTTTGATTCCCAGTCACGGCACATACCCCAGTAGTGGGTTTGATCATCAGTCGGTACGCATAGGGGAAGCAACTGATTGATATTTCTCTTACATCAATGTTTTTCTCTCTCTTTCTCTCTTCCCCTTCCCCTCTCTCTAAAAATCAATGAACACATCCTCAGGTGAGGATAAATAACTAAATAAATAAATAACAATGGAGCAAAAAACTATAAAAATCTAGGAGTCAACATTGATTCCTTCAACAGTGCCTAAGTTCTCACTCCACTTTAAATAATCCAAATTGGAAATCATAAATGCCACATTACAAGTGTGGTTTAAGCAGAAGAAAAAATGCAGAACTTCAATAAACATACCCACACACAAAGAAAAAGCCTTGGCCCTTCATCCAAAGATAGGCAAGTGAATATGTAGGGTGTCTCAAAAAATCTATGCACAGGCCAGCAGGGCGTGGCTCAGCGGTTGAGCATTGACCTAGGATCCAGGCGATCGGGGTTTGTCAGGGCACATGCCCAGGTTGCGGGCTCAATCCCCAGTCGGGGGTGTGCAGGAGGCAGCCGATCAATGACTCTCATCATTGTTTCTCTCTCCCTCCCTCTCCCTTCCTCACTCTGAAATCAATAAAGACATATTAAAAAAAAAATGTATGCACACACTTTGACTAATTATAAAGGCAGTGTTTCTTAAAATACATTTCATTTTCAAAATTGAGCTATTAGCTGTTATACATCAGTGGGTATACATTTTTTTGGGATACCATACATATGTATACGTTTACAGTTATAAAAATAATACCCTGCCTCCACTGACTGCTCTGATTAATTCACCAACTGTATTCCTAAGTGTCGAATGAGAGACCTTTTTGACAGGCAGCTCAGGTGACAGCCATTTGGATAAACAGGGAAATCAATAGGCAATGACCTTTGCTGATCTTTGCAGTGACTTCTCTGGTAAAGCACTCATGTCCTGTGCCATGGTGGTGCTCTTGTCTTTTGTAACTGGTACACCAGCATCCTCTTTTCCTTAATTAAAAAGAGAAAGAAATAGAAAAAGAATCAGTGAGATGCATATGTATTGTGCATAATCTACTAGGTATACACTCATGGAATTTTTAAATTCAGAGCTACAGGATTCTTGGATACTGTTTACCCCAAACCACTCATTTTATAGAAATAGAAACCCAGGTCCCCAGTGGTTAGGTGACTTGGCTAAGGTCAATCACATCACCAACTTGCATTAATGCTCACACTCAGGAGGCCACATTTTACCTACTTAACATTATTCATATGCTAAACACCATACACGTGGAAAGCATCAAACTTTTGAATTAAACTCAATCACCTATGTGTCAAAGTGCTAAAAAACTAGATGTTAAATACTGCCCCTGCCCACAATAAAGACTAGAGATAGGTTAATTTATTATGCACATCTGCAGAAATAAAACAAAATCAAAATAAATGTTAACTTTTAAAAGTATTTTGGTATCAGCCATAACAAACAAAATGGTGGAAAATAGATTATATTTATTAAATAAATTTTTAATTTATTATATTTATTAAATAAATTTACTAAATAAATTTATATTAAATAAATTTTATATTTATATTCAAATATATTTATTAAATAAATTTTTTAAATGCCAACCCTGATTTTCCTGGCTTTCTTAGTGACATTATATAAAGAGTAAAGTACTTAAAGTCTTTTAATGTTTAATTTCCTTTCTTAAAAACTTATGAACTGCACATTCACCCCAGAAAGTGAAACCACACCTCCCCAGTAGAGAGAGTTAGGCTCTGTCCCAGAAGTATTAAAACCACTTGTGAGCAAAAGCAGCAAACTGCACACTTTTGAACATTTAATATTTAGTATTTTCCTGTGTTACATTAGATTCCCCCATACCACAAAATATTCGTAGCCAACTATACCGGAGTTTCTGGATTCTAAGGGTCACAACCAATGCAGGTGGAACCCATCCCAGGGAGCTGAGGGACTGGCACCTATCATCGTTTAGACATTACCAAGGCCAAAATAAACAAATAATCCTTCTCAGGACCCACTGCCTCTTAGGAAAGCCTCAGCTGAAAGTCCAACACTGACATGACCCGACCTGCTGGGGCTTAAGAATGATCAACCACTTGCTTTTCCATCTACGCTGAAACACCTATGACAGTCACGACTAAAGCAAAATTCTGTTTTCCAAAAAGAAAAAACAAACAAAAACTTTCCCATTGTTGATCACCCTGTCCATCAGTAAAAGATGAACTTGGAGCATCATCCAAGTTCATCTTTTATTTTAGACCATAGTTCAGGATTTTCAGGATTCCAAAAATCATTGGATGCTTCCAGGACAACACCTCTTATACTCTTGGGGAGAAAACCCCACACAAGTTGTTTACCTGCTCTATACATATCTTGCTGATATGTTCTGCAGAACAAGGTAATTCCAGAAAGATTAGGAGGCTGGAATTACAAGTACTCTCTACCTAGATTTCAAATATCTGAGCTCTTGGTCTCAAGAGCTGGCAGTCAATACAGGGTAGTGAGGGTTTTTCCAAGGCACCCCAAACCCTGGGCATACAGCTTTCTGTGATAGTCACTGATGGCTCCATCTTACGACTGTTGGTTTAAATTTCACCCCAACAAGAAGCAAGTCTTCAGTTCTCTCAAAATCAATCAACCAGGAAAAGTTATTTTATGGGAATCTCCCCAATGTAAAAATGACAACACAAGTCCTCACAGGGGCAGGTAACATCCATGTTATAGTCATTTACTACACTGCAAGTCTGCCAGGCATAGTGAGTGGTGATGATCACCTAGAACACCACATCTAGCCCTTTCCAGGGCCAAGGCTTAGGGCACCAATGAGTTCTCTTCTTCACAAAATCCCCAGCCCAAACAAGTCTCTCACTGAAATAAAGCTAATGAAATTGTATGGTGCCAGAGAGTTCTCACAGTGGGTTCACATGTTACCTCATTTGATCCAAACCACAACTTCATACTATGGGTAGAGTGGGTATGTCATTATAGTTTCACCAAGGAAATGGGAGTAATGAACAGACAGAGCCAGTTGATAACAGTATGCAGAGATCTTGGTGCTGACCGTGGTGACCAGTTCTCCACACAAGCAAGAATCAGAGCATCATGGGAAGAGCCATGAAAACCCACATGAAAATATTGTGTAAGTGGTGATGGGATCCCCTGAAATGCTGGTGTTAACCCAGTAAAGGTCCAGTCAAGTTAGGGAGCACTGCCAGGGGTGAGGTCAGTGATCTGTGCAGGAAACACAACAGGAAGAGCAAGGAAGCTACATGATAATGCCCAGTGTTACAATGAGGCAGAAGCACAAGGGATGGGAGAAGAGGCAGGTGTTCTCACATTTACTTTTCTCAGCAACCCCATGAGGAAAGTATCGCTATTCTGATTTTTAGAGAGTCAGCAAATCAGAGGTAAAGTAACTGATACCAGGGTTCATCAAAGGAGATGGTTAGTAGAGGGGGAGTATGATAAGATCTGGAGGAAAGATAGGTACATGTGGGTGGTTCCAATGAGGATGGGAGGGTTGCTGAAAATCTTATAATTCAGTTACAGACAGACATTGAAGGATTTTAGATTTTAGAAGATGCCAAGTGACAAACAGTTCTCTATGTAATTTCACTGTTTCCACACATAGAGATGATAGAGTAAGTTAAAAGCAAGAGCTACAGAGTCACAAGACCTAAATTCAAAACCATGTGGCTTTGAACGAGTCATTCCTTCCCTTTGAATGTCCTCCTCTGTAAATCAGGGATAGTTTACATGAACTCTGTTCACATGTAGTGCTCTGGCACAAGGTATATTAACAATAATGGTTAGATATTATTAATGTTGTTACTAGCTCTCACAGTAAGTTTTGAGCAAACCCTGTTACCTGGTCACAACAGAACAGGACAGGTATATAGAACAATGGCTATATTATAAAAATGGGTCACATTTCATCATCTGTAAAATGTAACCCATCTCACAGGGTTTGTGGGAAGATTAAATAAAATTAATGTGTGTAAAAGTGCTAAGGTGGCTAGAACACAGTAAGCACCCAATAACTGCTATAAAATATATACACTTAAATTGCTGGTGCATTCTGTGCAAAGTAAGGAGAGGCATGAGATGGTGCTACCTAGGTAGGCAGAGGCCAGGTCAACATTACAAAGTTTGGATTTATCCCAAAGGCAATGGAGAGCTATAGAAGAAAGTAGGCAGGAGACTAATATGGTTTATGCTTTAAGCAGCTCACACTGGTGGCTGTATGGGGAACAAACTTAGGAGAAGTGGGACTGGAGGCAGAAAGGCCAGTTAGCAGGTTGCAATAAATCAGACCAGTGGCAGAGGAGAGGGAGGGTTCTGGATAGAGAGGTATTTAGGAGGCAAACTGACAATATTGTTTAGATGCTAGTGGGGAACTGGGGGTGGTGGAGGTCATATCGAGAAAAATCAGGCTAATGTGGGGTCAGAGAAGCAAAGAAAAGCAAGTGTTTCCATAGGAAAAGCATGGTCAGGAGTGTGGCCTTAGTGACAGGGTAACAGGTGACGTAGTGAGACTAATTTTAAAGAAAGAAGTGGAGTCAGAATGCCGTGCATGGGGAATTAAGTGGGAGGCGGGCTGTGGAGATGAGGGTGTGGACGGGGCTCCGGAAGTCTGGCTCTGAAGGAGCAGAATAACACAGGGTGGCAGCTCCAGAGGGAGAGAGACAAGGTTTTATTACTTTATTTTTTTAAGATAAGGGACGCTTGGACATGGTTCACTGCTGATAGGAAGGAACCGTTAAAGAAGGTGCAGTCAGAGAGCACACTTAGGAAAGGGAGGGGTCCCTGGGCAGGAAGGGGTGGGGTCCAGACCCAGAGGAAAGGATTAACTTAAGGACAGGAAGATGCCAAATTCGTTGTATTATCAAAGTAAATGGAGGAGGAGAAGAGTCCAGACACAAGTCATTTGTAAGTCTGGAGGCTGAAAGCTGAGGGGCACATGGAGGCAGCTTTCATTTTCTCTGAAACAAAGAAGCCAAATTCATCTGTTGGAAAGGGCAAGGGGAGGTGGAGGATACTCACTACATTCAGAACTGGGTTCTGAAATTTCAGGTGAGAATCAAATGTAAATGGCATCTGAAAACAGTGGCCCTGAACATGCCAGGCACAATCGGGATTTACATACACCTGCACACTTAATATTCTCCAATAATCCAGTGTAGGCAGATATCATGATGCCAATTTTAGAGATAAGGGAAACGAGGCTCACAAAGGTCAAGTAACGCACTTGCCCATGGCTGCCAACCAGGAAATGACAAGGACAGGACTCCAACCTAAACCTCGTGAATGCTGACACCTCATCCTCTCCCGTGATGCCCCTCAGCCTTCACGACCTGAGCAGGGCTGGGGAAGCGAGAATGGGAAAGGACACATGATTCCGGAGACTTGCCGAGTGATAAGACACGCGAGAAGTCGATCAACTCCAGGGCACGTTTTGAGCTCGGCGCGACAATGAAATGTAAGTATGACGACATTCTCCAGCCAAGCTGGAGACATGGTTTCACATCTTGGAGTAGAGGTTGGAAATTATCAATTAGATGATAATATTGTCTGAATAGACAAATGTGTAGAGACGGGGGTGAAAAGGACTTAACATACTAAGAGTAACAGGACAAATAAATGAATGAAAAGAAAACTAATATTCAAGCATTAAGAGGAAAAAAATTCCTTCACTGCCCAACTTTCCTGCATTGTTCTAACTTACAGACTGGTGAGAGAGAAGAAAGGAGGTACTTTGTGGCAGGGTTTAGTCACCCTTCTCATCAGGCTGACCACGCAGGTGCCTGCAGGTTCCTGAGCTGGAGCTAAGACTCAGACCGTGTGGCTTTCAGGCCCAAGCCTGAGTCCCTCACAGGGTTATCTTCTTAAATGGAGCTTTGCGCTGATTCCCATTCCCAGCTGTTAACTGTATTAATTACATCATCAACACCCTCCTGCTTTTCTCGGAGCCCTCTCTGCTGCA